TGGCAGGCACACAACAAATATTATCTGAACGAAAAATGAATTCCCTCGAAACCTATCCCGTTTTAAGTTACAAAGTCTTTAACTGCATGATACCCATTACATTCACAAGTCACGGCACCCCAGAAGAAGATGGAGCTTGAGAAATTATCTACATTTACTGGTTTTCAAACTAGAACCCAGCGTTTTCTCACAGTGGCTTCTAGGGCTTCCATCAGGACATGATCTATCAGGACATGATCTCACGGTTCATGGGTTTGAGCCCCACATCAGACTCACTGCTGTCTGCGCAGAGTCTGCTTAGGATCCTACAAACATTTAATTTCAATTTATTATTTAATTATCTTTCAAATTAAAAAAATTCAACAGGTTGAACACTTTCACACATATGCATTCAAAATAAAACCTATGCCTATTTTACTCTAACATTCATGACTCTTAAAAACTAAGCTAGGGGCGCCTGGGTGGCGCAGTCGGTTAAGCGTCCGACTTCAGCCAGGTCACGATCTCGCGGTCCGTGAGTTCGAGCCCCGTGTCAGGCTCTGGGCTGATGGCTCAGAGCCTGGAGCCTGTTTCCGATTCTGTGTCTCCCTCTCTCTGCCCCTCCCCCGTTCATGCTCTGTCTCTCTCTGTCCCAAAAATAAATAAACGTTGGAAAAAAAAAATTAAAAACAAAAAAAAACTAAGCTACATTGGGGACACCTGGCTGGCTCAGTGGGAAGAGCATGAGACTCGATCTCAGAGTCATGAGTTCGAGCCCTACACTGGGTGTAGAGGTTACTAAAAATAATAATAATAACAATAAACTTAAAAAAAACTAAGCCATATTGTGTCTAATACTATTCTTCATGCCAGATACCATATTTTACTGCTCTAACAGGTTAAAATCAATTGCATTTTTTTTCAAAAGTCAAAAAGGATGCATCCCCAGGAAAGAGGAAGAGAAGTCTCCAAGGGACACACATGCTCCAACAGCATCAGTTTATTTTCCACCAGATACAGAGATGCCCAGGCAAAGACAACAGGACCGGGAGTTCATGCACGGGCCAGCCTCTCAGTAATTCACAAAGAGCAGATGTGTTAACAAAAGCTGAAGTAATGAGGCCTTTCGGTTGTGTCCTTTAATTTGTCTCATCCGCAAAGCCCAAGATTTACTAATAGGCCGTGCTGCAGACTAGAAATCTCAGCCTGGTCTTGAAGCCACCATCTTTAGCCTGGGGCAAAGTCACTTTCCTCTCTTGGGCCCCCTCTGAATGTACAGAACAGCAAGAGAGGATCAGGTCTGCAGTTCTCTTGGGCTCCGACAGCTGACGCTGCTGGTATGTCAGGGCTCAGTGGCCTGGACCTGAGGAAGCCCTCTCAGCACCCAGACAGCTCCCTACCTACATCCAAAACACCCCACTTCCCGCCAGGGAACATCCAGGCAATTCTTTGTCCCGCATCCTGACCTGGAGCCAGCCTCTACCTGGAACCTCAATTCCAGAATTAAAAGCCAGCCCCCCAAAATTAACTATCAGACATGCTAAAAGGCAATCTTAAAGGCAGGTGGCCACCTTCCTGCCCCAGGCTAAAGTGTCATTAAGAGTCAACGCGAGGTGGGGTGCCTGGTGGCTCAGCTGGCTGGGCGTCCAGCTCTTGACTTCGATTAAGGCTCAGGTCATGATCTCGCAGTTTGTGGGCTTGAGCCCCCGAGTCAGGCGTGGAGCCTGCTTGGGATTCTCTCTCTCCGTCCCCCTCTGTCCGCCACCCCCCTCCCAACCCTCCTAACCCTGCTCACCCACACACTCTCTAAATAAATAAACTTAAAAAAAAAAAATACAATAAAAGAAATTTAACTAATATCTCAGAGCCTAAGTAAAAAGACCTGTTAACCACAATGCAGAGTAAAACAGCAAAAAACAAAATCTGCATACACACCAACATGCTCGTGGCCAAGAACAGGGAGGGGTTAACAGAGAGACAGCTGTATACCTGTGACCACACTGAAACCTTAGTTTTCATTAGTGTTAGGGACTGAACTGCGTGTCCACCCCTCTACCCAAAATTCAAATGCTGAAATCTGTCTCATATCATAAGACACCAGATCTGCCTGTGCCCTGACCTTGAACTTCCTAGCCTCCATAACTATGAGAAATCGATATTTGCTGTTGAAGCCCCCCACCTGTGTAATTTGTTATGGCAGCCCAAGCGGACTCAGTTACTAAGCGCATGAAGAGACAAGAGGCATCTGGAGAGCAAAAGGTAAAGAAAGAGCCAGTAAGATCTTCATGCTCTGGGGGTGGCACAGCCCTGTCCTTGCCTGGTCTCCTTTCCCTCCACACACCCCACCTGTGGGGCTCCTCCGAAGTCACACATATATTAGCACTATGCCTCTTAACAGAAGAGAGACACTTAATAAAAGCTTAATTTTTCAGAGAAATGCCCCAAATCCATACATTCAGCTATATGGTATCAAACTGTATATACTACAATATTCTCATTCTTAAAATCTTTTATAAACAAATAATAGACCCTCTCAAAATAATCCTAATGGTTTTCAACATTCAAAAAAATAGTTCTTGTATCCTATTATTAAAGTATCCTCATCTTTGTAGGTTGGGGACATGCCAACAGCAAGGGGATACGAGAAAGGTACAATAAAGTAAGAGGGACAGGAAGGACATGTGGGGTCAGGGAAGGCCACAAGCTTTGCCACTGGACACAACAAGGCCCAAAGTCCAGCTGTATTTGCTAGGTGGGACACCAAAGTTGTGAGTGTTTCCATTTGCCCATCAATTAAAATGAGATGATTAGGGATGTCCAACAAAGGGTGCCTGGTTCTTGTCACCAGGACCATTAATGTGGAAGGTGGATGACAGTTTGCTGGGACTGATACTACAGGAGATTTTTAATTTTTTTTTTTTTTTTTTTTTAGAGAGAGAGCACACAAGAGAATCTCAAGCAGGCTGCTCGCTGAGCATGACTCAACTCCATGACCCATGAGATCATGACCTGAGCCAAAATCAAGAGACAGACCCTCAGCCAACTGGGCCACCCAGGAGCCCTAATATAGGAGATATTTTTTAAATGGAGAACTCTATACCTCCTTCCAATTGTAATGTCTAAAATTTCACAGACTTCAAATTTCCAAAGACAGTTACCACTAAATAAAGTCAATTACCATGGCCTTAAAAATGAATAAACCAGAGCATGGAGAGACCAGAACTGCCATCCTGAAGGTCTCCACATTGGAGGGAAGAGTCCTTGCAAACAATTTCATGTATGTCACAAACGAGATGCACTCAAGGTAACAGTAAATCTAATTACACAAAATGAGAAAATTTTCTACATTCCTGTAGTATTTCCCAAGAGTCAAAAATGAAAAGCTCTTTGTGCCATGTGTGAATTTATGGAAAAGATGCAAAGCAAGTAAAAACAGTTTATCTGGCTCTTCTACTGCTTTTCTCATTTTAACAGAATTGTTGATATTACATTAAAATTTCTTCTTGCGGGGCACCTGGGTGGCTCAGGCAGTTAAACATCTGACTCTTGATTTCAGGTCAGGTCACGATCTTGTCGTTTGTGGGTTCGAGCCCCAAGTCAGACTCTGCACCAACAGTGCGAAACCTGCTTGGGATTTTTTCTCTCCCTCCTCTCTGCCCCTCCCCTGCTCTCTCCCTTCAAAATAAATAAACATTAAAAAAAAATCTTCTGGAAACTTACTTTTGAACACTACTCTGACCAATTGCTTTTATGGTTTATAACATTATGTGATATTATAAAATTGGGTACATAATACCTTTGGAGATACATCAAGTTTTAGAGGCTTACCTTCCCCCAAAACTACTAACTCCTACTCCCACTGTAAAAAAGAAATCTTTTAACCACAGGACATCTCTTTCCTTAGTGGATAAAACCTATGTAAGACTGTAACCCCTGACACACAGCTTCTTCCGGCAATCCCTCTGAGGGCAGCGAGAACGGCAGACCCATCATCCCCCAAGCGTCCACCAGACAGGACCCACCTACTAACACTAAAATGGTAGATGAGGCCTGTCCCAGAAACTACCACTCACCCAAAAATCAGCCCTTCCAGGACAGGTAAGAAAAGAGTGCCACGGACACACGTGTCACTGTGCGACCACAGTGGGGACGAGACGTCAAGTGCTAAAACCACTGTGTCCATTTTTTAAAAACTTGTATTGCATACACTGTGTTTCAAGGACAACCTACGCAATACTTATGATTCACTAGTTATTTGTAAGCACCTTGTCAGAGGCCAACATGTGACCATGTTCTACCAAGAGAAGCAAGCTGCAGACCACGGCTGGGAAGTCAACCCATCGCTAGATTCCACTATCTTGCACATGGGCTGGCACCCACTACTGGCACGGGAGGTCCAGGCCAGGCAGGGGACAAGACCAAGGGTGCGGGGCCGGCTCCGCCATCCACGCGCAGTGAGCGCTAGCAAGGGCTCTGAGTGTGCACCCGAGAACACAAGTGTGCACTCCTGCCTGGTCTGGCCACGGCTCCGACACGTGACACTGTTCTGTGATCATCCTCCTCTGCCTGCCTGTCTTACTCCTGAAATCAATTTTTTTAAGTTTTCAAATTCCTGATTCTAATTAGTTATAAATGAAAATGTGACACACGTATTTTGGAAGCTAAACTACCATCTGAAATAAGGAAGAGCAATGGGGTATCAGCTCCACGGAAGTTAAAACCAGTTCTGGAAGACAAGCTAACAAACTGTTCTTATGTAAGATAATGACAAGCAAAATCCTTCACGACTTCCATGGACGAATGCACTGGCTTCCCAGGAAACAACACAACTGGCTTCAAAAGCAGACCTTAAATCTTCAGTAATGTTATTAGAAGCAGAAATATATGTTATAAGGATATATATTGGTCCCTTTTTCATGCAACTGAAGGGGGAAACTGAAACGGATAAAAACAATCATCTCTACAGCCCAGATTTAGTGAGAAGAACTCATGCGTGTTTAGGCGTCAGGTGTGATACTTACTAGATCTAGTGCAGAGCCTCCACCAAGGTATTCCATTATTATCCACAATTTAGTGTCCTACAGAAAAAAAGAAAACAAAAAAAGGAAATGATTTTTCAAAAGCAAAACTAGAAAAGATTTTAAATAACCTCAGGGTATTTTTCACTGTTATCTTAGAACTGGAAAATTTCATAAATGCGTAACAGCAAGAAAGCGCGTGCACGTGAGTCCCGTGCAGGGAAAAAGCCCTCCCAGTGCAGACGGGGGCGGGGCTGGCCCAGTTCATCCCGGCCTGCGGCAGCCACACAAAAGCAGCAGGTTCAGGGCCTACTGAACCAGAATCTCTCAAGGAGCGGATGGAAGGCACAGCGGTCAGAGTAGGGGGCTCCCCTTCTAAAGAACCTCAGGTGGTGATCCTCAAGAACAGCTGGATGTGGGGATCAGGGACCGCAGCGTCACACGTGGCACACCCCAGTGTCAGCTAGGAGGCGTCCGGAGCATGCAGCCGCGGGAACAAGTCCCTGCCCTCTCTCTGCCTGAAGCTCTGGGATGTGCAGGGCCCAGGTTCCCTGGGAGCTGAGCAAAGGTGAGGACTCCTGGGGGGAAGGGGAGGATGGACAGCAGTGCAGCCTTTCATCCACCCCCTTGAAAGGCAGCCAATTTCCGACAGCCCAAAGGCTACCGTAATCTTCAGGGAGCTTTCCAGGAAAGCAGGCCCCAGCCTGATGCTTGTGTCTGTGTCCTCACCACTGTCCATTCCGTGACTTTTCCCTTTGTCTCTCCTGAAGCCACTAGGCCCCCATGACTTCTAGAGTTTGTTTGTTGGTTTTTAAGCAGGCTTCACACCCAGCGCGAATCCCAACACAGGACTTGAACTCACAATCCTGAGATCAAGGCCTGGGCTGAGATCAAGAGGCAGACACTTAACCTACTGAGCCACCCAGGTGCCCCCAGAGTTCTTTTTTTAAACACAAATCCTAAAGCGATACTCACTTGAAAACCAACAAGTAAGCCAATTTCCACACTGCACTTGGGATAGGGAGCATCCGTGAGGTGGTGAGGAGCCCCCTGGGCTCGGGGACAATCCAGACCAGGGTGTGGGTCCTGAGCCCTCCTACAACCTGAGGGACCCAGGCAGATACTTCCTCTCCAAGCCTCTGCTGTCAACAGTGGCTGACCCACAGCCAGCAGGCAGGCAAGAAGGCCCCCTAGTGATGTGGATACTGGTCACGGCTCTGGTGGCGAGGAACCCGTGAGTGATTCTAGGGATGCGTGACCCAGCACAGCCCTTTCCCACCAGAGACCCCCAGTCCCACCGACGCCATCATTCAGTGGCCACCTTCCCTTGGATGCTCGTTCTCCACAGCTCCCATCCTGTGTTCAATCACTGTCCCTTTCTGTAGGTTGACTCCTCCCCCATGGTCCTGATGAGCCCTAAAAGCTGTGGGTTCTGCCTCGCTCCTCCCCTCCTGGCTAGAATTCCCAAACCAGAACCCCCAGCTGCTGGTTTCTCTTTCCCAGCAGAAGAGAAGGGTGCTAAGAAAAACTGTGCTACCTCCCCACCTGGATCAGGACAGAGATGCTGTGCATAGTATGAAAACCAGGGACGGAGTGAAGGACAGATCTCCGGATACAGAGAAGCCCCTGGTGCAGGTGTAACTTGTGCCGCCTCGGGCAGCACACCCCGCAGGCAGCATCATGCCTCCAATGCACGACGCTTACGCAACCCAAGACAGAAAAGGTCTCTTAACCTGGCCCATCAGTCAGGATTCCCAATAATTTCTACCTCCACCAACCCTAAAAGACACATTCAAAAGGGAGCAGTAAATGGATGAGCTGGGGGAAGGGTAAGACGGGCTGTGAGGGGTGCCTGGGTGGCTCGGTCAGTTTAGCGCCTGACTTCAGCTCAGGTCATGATCTCACAGCTGGTGAGCTCGAGCCCCGCATCAGGCTCTGTGCTGACAGCTCAGAGCCTGGAGCCCGCTTCGGATTCTGTGTCCCCCTCCCTCTCTGCCTCACCCTGCTCACACTCTGTCTCTCTCTCCTTCAAAAATAAACAAACATAAAAAAAAAGACGGGCTTTGAGAGTGGCGGGCAGGGCATACTCACTGCCTCTGGACTACAGCAGGGCTCTCTCATCCTCAGCATTTGAGGCTGGGTGAGCCGGTGGGGGCACGGTCCTGAGCCCTGGGGGTTGGTCAGCAGCATCCTTGCCCCTCTAACCACTAGAGGCCAACAGCACATCCCCAGTCCTGACAACCTAAAATGTCTCCAGACATCACCAATGTCTTCTGGGGGCCAAAACCACCCCCACTGAAAACCCCTGAACTACACGATCAATGTCAATAAGCCTGAAGTATGACTGGACCACCAACTCAATTAATTCTCTCCTTATTCTTAGCACAGCCAGTTTATAACCCTGAAACCTCCAGCTCGAAGGTTATCACTCACTGCGAGGCATCGAAGCTTTCGAATTCTTCATCCAGCAAAAGATGGTAATAATCTCTGTTTCGAAACCTCACAATTCAACTGACAATATAATGAGATAATGAATGTGAAAGCACTTTGCAAAGTTCAAGGTACTAAACACATACAAAGTGCTATCAGCTTTATCAACACCATCGCCCATAAATGCCTTAAAATAACCTGGTAAAACCGAAAGAGCCCAGTTAACAAGACTAAATAGTAGTTCTCTGCATGGGAGGATCTGAGCAAAATAAAATCTGCAACAATGATTCATACACATTCTACACCACAATGAAAAAAAAAATAATTATTGCCCTACAAGCTCTGAGGCAAGGATGTCTAGGAAGGATGGTCGGCTCAAGGGACACACCTGACCCATTCTCTGTGATCAAGTGATCAAGCACTGTCACTGCCCAGATGTGGAATCACAGCCCTTCCAAACCATGACTTGTGGGGGAAAAAAATATCAGCTTCTTAAGACAAGAATGATTTTAATCAGAATAATTTCATTTTTTAAAACTCACCTCAAGGGGTACATGGGTGGCTCAATTCACTAAGCGTCCGACTCTTAGTTTCGGCTCAGGTCACGACCACACAGTTCATGAGTTCAAGCCCCATGTGGGGCTCTGTGCTGACAGTGCAGACCCTGCCTGGGATTGTCTCTCCCTCTCTCCGCCCCTCCCCTGCTCATGTGCCCTTCCTTGCTCTCTCTCAAAATAAATAAATAAACTTTTAAAAACCACCTCAAAAAATGTTATTATAAACGACCTTGTGATGGTTCCTCTAATAAATTCAAGATTCAAAATTTAAAAGGTACCAGAACGTATACATTGAGAACTTTCCCTCTCACCCCTGGCCCCCAGCTGTCCAGCCTGTAACCTCAGAGAAATATTTTACCCAAATACCCATGAATTCTTTCTCCCCTTCTACGCAGATGGCAACATTCTATACACCGCTCTCTACCTTGCTTCTTCTTAGAGCATTCGCTATCTGTCCATCAAGAAATCCCCCTTGGGGCGCCTGGGTAGCTCAGTCGGTTAAGCATCTGACTCTTGGTTTCAACTCAGGACGTGATCTCACAGTGCATGGGTTCAAGCCCCGCATCGGGCTATGCACTGACAGCACAGAGCCTGACTGAGATTCTCTCTCTCCCTCTCTCTCCTCTGTCCCTCTTCTGCTCTCTCTCTCAAAATAAATCAACTTAAAAAAAAAAAAAAAAAACTCCTCTTTTCTTAAACCATAACTAACGCATGCCATAGTGACAACATTGAGTTGTTTCCAGTCTTTTGCTGTCATGAGCCAAGCGTTAAGAAGAACCCTAACATGCTGTCATTTTGAGAAGTTCCTGGAAGGCAAATTTTGAGATCAAAGGAATCCCCTAGAATTTCACCAAATAATGACAAATTACAATTCAAAGAACCTGTCTCAGTTTATAATGCCTCCAAAAACAAAGGAGTACTAATTTCTTCCTTCCTTTGCCAATTAGGTGTAATGTTTTTCTGTCATTGTTATAAACTGAATTTTGCTCTCCTCCCCAAATTCATATGCTGAAGCCCTAAGCCCCAGGACCTCAGATCTGTAATGCTGAGCCCTGAACAACACAGGGACTGGGGACACTGCCACCCTCCCACACACCCTCCTGAAGTCATGAATCCACCTCAAAAACCTCACTCCTAACAGCCTACTGCTAACTAGAAGCCTTACCAGGAACATGAACAGTCAACTAACTGTTGACTATTAATAACAGTCATAATATAACATATATGTTACATGTAGTACACACTGCAGTCTTACAATAAAGCTAGAGAAAAGGTTATTTGGGCAATAAATTTACAGAACTGTAAAAACTCTGCCTGTAAGCAGACCTCAGCAGTTCAAAGGGTAAACTCTATTTGGAGACTGGGTATTTAGACAGGTAATGAAGTTAAAAATCAAGTCATTAGGGTGGGCCCTAATCCAATGTGACTGGCGCCCTTCTAAGACAGGACACAGGTGCACACGGTGTGAAGAAGGGAGAAGTCAGGTGTCTACAAGGCAGGAGAGAGGCCTCAGAGGGGACCAATCCTGCCAATTGATGCCCTGAATTCAGACTTGCAGCCTCCAGAACTGCAAGGAAATACATTTTTCTGCTGAAGGCACCGGGGCTGTGCTACTTTGTTAGGGCAGCCCTAGAAAATGAAGACAGAATCCGTAAGTAGGAAAAATAAAAAAGGAGAGTTTCTTTTACTGTGGCTTGAACACATTCATATACTGAAGAGCCACGTATTATTTTCTTTTCTGTGAACCATCTATTCATATCCTTTGTCCATTTTTCTACTGGGTTTCCGACTTTTTTTCAGATGTAGTAACTTTTAACATATTAGGGAAATTAGCCTCTCATAATGAGCCGCAAACACAGCACTTTCCTCATTTGGCTTTGAATATGCTTTAGGCAGTTTCTGCTTGCAGAAAGTAATTTGGTGTCAACACAACATCAAGCTTGCTCGGAACTGTTTGTAACCACTTCCTAAGCATCTGATCAGTGACCTAGCTGGTCCCCACACTGAGGGCTCCCCATGTTAACAACCCTCAGATACCCAGAGAAAAGGTTAAAACAAGGCAGTGAAGGGGTG